TAAATATATATTTATATAATATATATAGAACAATAATATAAATATATAGAATATAATGCTAGTAACCTAATTCTTGCATTCAACAAACATTTGTTATATTAGCCACTTTTCTTCTGAAACACATATGAAATACAAACTTGAGGTTATGCTATATGAAATTGTCACTTTTATTGTTTGAAAAAAAAGGTTGAATATTGGCATGTTCCTAAAGGTCAATCTAATTAATGAATTTGGAATTCCTCATATGAGACATCTTCTAAAATATTAATTAGTGCTATGTTATTCAGCAACATGTTCAATGATAGAAAACTCTTTGAAGTACTTATGGTTAACTTGAAATGTAAAAGTCTTGTTTGTTTATTTATTTATTGGTTGATTGCTGAAGATCCAACCCAGGGTTTCATGCATGTCAGGCAAATACTCTGCCACTGAGCTATATCCTCAGCTCTAAAATTTTAAATATTTTTTAAACATTTATGTGTGTAAGTATGTGGGCATATACGTACCAAGGTGCTGATGTAGAGTTCAGAGGACAACTTGTGGGAATCGGTTCTCTACTGTGTGGGTCTTGGGGATTTAACTCAGTAGTCAGGCTTGGCAGCAGGCACTTTTACCCACCGAGCCATCTCATCAGCCCCAAGATAGGCATTTCATTTGTGGAGCTGGGGGATAGAGCTCAGTGGTAGACCATTTACCTAACAGGTGCTCAGGCCCTGGATTCAATCATAGCACTGAATGAGTGAATGAATAGAAAATGAAAAAAGAAAAAAGATGAGTTCATTTGTGACAGAGCCTGTGGAATTTTTAAATGCATGGTGTTTTCTGTGCCTTTTGAAGGTAATAATATGATTTGATTGTGTTTTCAAAGGTTTGTGCTTTCTGGAAATCTGCATGGTGGTTCAGTGGTAGCAAGCTATCCTTTTGATGATTCTCCAGAACATAAGCCCACTGGAATTTATAGCAAAACCTCAGACGATGAAGTCTTTAAATACTTGGCAAAAGCTTATGCTTCAAACCACCCTATAATGAAAACTGGTGAGCCTCACTGTCCAGGAGATGAAGATGAGACTTTCAAAGATGGGATCACAAATGGTGCACATTGGTATGATGTGGAAGGTAAGCAAAACTGAATCTGTTTATTTGCCTCTGTTTAGTTTTCTTAAGTATATTCTGGAAGAGGAAATTGTAGAATTCTAATTTTTTTTTTCTTTTTTACTTATGGTTTTATTCATTCAGCCTTATGATTTTAAACACATTTACACAGTCAATTGCTTTTAAACTCTATTCATTGTAAATCACAATTACAGAGAACATTTTTTCTTATTTATTCTGGGGTGATGCTTAATTTACGAATACCAGGCAAAGTTTGCCACATAGAGATGTGAACTATATATTCAAAGTCTTGTGATGAGTGTGGCAGTGACCGTATGTTATCCCAGCAATCAAGAGGTAGTGGCATCTCTACCATCTTGGAGAATTCTAATTTTTAAAAAAGTTATTTCGGGCCAGGTGTGGTGGCACATGCCTTTAATCCCAGCACTCGGGAGGCAGAGGCAGGTGGATCTCTGTGAGTTCAAAGCCAGCCTGGTCTACATAGTGAGTTCCAGGACAGCTGGGCTACAGAGAGACCCTGTCTCAAAAAGACCAAAAAAAAAAAAAAAAAAGTTATTTCTGGCTGTAGAGATAAGAGCACTGACTTATCTTACAGAGGACCTGGGTTTGGTTCCCAGCACCCACATAGTGGCTAACAACTGTCTGTAACTCTGGTTCGAAGGGCTCCAACGCCCTCTTTGGACAGCTGCAGGCAGTGCACACGTGTGATGCACTTACATACAAGCAGGCAAAACACTCATACATGTTTTAAAAAAGTTCTGTCTTTGTATTTTGAAATTGTAAAACCTACAGTCAAATTGAAAAAAGACCACCTAAATGTGTATATCCTTACATAAATTCATCCACTGTTCTCTCACCCTATATGCTTTCCTCCCCACCTATATACACCAACATCCACAGTCATTGCCAGACATCTAAAAATAAGTTGCTGATTTCATGACAAATTATGTCTAAGTTCCTCAGCATGTATTTATCAAGTAGAGACCTCTGTCTAACAATATACCAGTACCATAACTGAGAAATCAGGAATAATTCAGTGCTATTATCCACATGCTGCCAGTAATTCACTTCGCTTATTATCCCCAAATCATCCTTTGTGGTTCCTTTTTGTTAAAATCCAACATTGCACTGACTCTTGTAAAGAGTTCAGGCTGGGGCCAATGAGACAGCTCAGTGGGTGAAGGTATTTAACATCAAGCCTGACAATCTTGTTTGATCCCCAGGATTCACATATTGGAAAGAGAACTGAAAGTTGTTCTTTCTCATCCACAAATGCAGTGTTGTATATATGTGCCTACACACACAAATAAATGTAGTGAAAAGAGTCTAAGCTGGTTGTCCTGTGGAACATTCCATTTTGGGGGTTCACTTTTTTTGTATTAAAATTCAAGTCCAGTTCTCCAGTAAAATCATTTTATAGACCATATCACATTGTATCAGGAGACACAGGAAGTCACACTATGTGCTTAAGTTGTTTAGCTAGTTCAGTGATCACCGTTATCTTTTATATAAAGGCCCAGGTATTTTAATCTGTACACTGATCAGGAAATTGTGGTTTGCTTTGTAATGTAGTCATATATGTGTATGTGTCTGTCTGTCTGTCTGTGTCTATGTGTCTGTGTGTGTATACGTCTGTGTGTGTGTCTGTGTGTACTAGTTTATTTTCAATTACTGTGATGACAAAACACTCTAAACAATACCAACTTGGGGAGGAAAGGGTTTATTTGGCTTACATCTCCCAGGTCACAGTTCATCACTGAGGGAACCTAAGGTAGGAATTCAGGGCAGGAACCTGGAGGCAGGAGCTGGATCAAAGGCCATGGAGGAACTCTGCTTACTGACTTGCTCCCCTGGCCCCTGTTCAACCTACTTTCCTATACAACATAGGTCTACCTTCCCATGGGTGGTACCACATCATTCAGTAATCAAGAAAATGCCCCACAGACATGGCCACAGGTCAGTCCAATGAGGCAATTCACCAATTGAGGCTCCCTTTACCCAGGTTTGTCAGGTTGACAGCTAAACTATCCAGCAATATATATATTTAACAGAATTTGCAATTTTGGCTCTCTCTCTGTGTGTGTGTGTGTGTGTGTGTATTTTCTGTGGTGCTGGGGATCAAACTCTAGAGGCCCATATAGCTAGGCAAGTACTTTATCACTGAATTAGCCTGATCTTTTTTTTTTTCTTGGTTTTTTGAGACAGGGTCTCTTGTAGCCCAGACTGACCTTGAATTCCTTATTCTCTTGTCTTCAACCTCCCAAGTATTAGGATTACAAGTTTCTACTACCATGCCTGGCCAATTTTAGCAATTGCTAAGCATAAGAATCCAGAGATACTAACTACATACACAATGTTATACAGCCATTGCTACTGTCTACTTTCAAAACTTTTTTATCACTTCAAAGCAAAACTCTGTTATGATTAAGTAATAACCCCCATTCCCTTTTCCTAGCCACAGGGAACCACTAACCTACTTTCTATCTCTGTGAATTTGCCTAAACTAGATATTTCACATAACCGAAATCAGACAATACTTGTACTTTTGAACCTAGTATACTTCACTCAGCATAATGTTCTACAGATTCATCCATTTTTTGTAGCGTGTATAGAACAGAATTCATTTTATTGCCAAATGATATTCTATATATGGAATACGTACACACACACAGAGTTATATAAGAGATTTTATCTGTTCATTCTTCTGTTGATGGGCACTGGGTCATTTGTACCTTACTACCATGAATAATGCTGCAGGAAGCATTAGTGTATGAGTGTCTGAGTCCTTGTTTTCCAATTCCAGGTATCTGGCTGGAAGTGAAATTACTGGGTCATGTATTATTTTATATCAAACTTCTAAGGAACCATCAAAACATTTTCCATAGTGGCTATACATTTTCATTCCTATCAGCAGTGTATAAGGGTTCCAGTTTTTCATAGGTTGTTTTCTGTGAAACAGAATTATTAAGAGCTGGGAAGATGGCTCAGTGGATAAAACGCTTGATTTATAAGCACGAGAACTGGATTTTAGATCTGCAGAACTCACATCAAAGCTAGGAGGACATAGTGACCCACCTGTAATCCCAGCACTCAGGAGGCAGAGACAAGGGATCTCCTGGGCAAGCTAGCTAGCAAGGCTAGCTAAACTGGGGAGCTCCAGGTTCATCAAGAGACTTGCTTCAGTAAATAAAGTGGAGAGTGATTGGGGAAGACACATGCTGTCAACCTCAGGCTTCCGCATACCCATGCACACATATACATGTATACCTACAAATATATATGCCCACATGTACCTACAAACACATGCACCTACATGCTTATATACATGGTTGTACACCACACACATATATACTTGAAAAACAATTATTAAAGCTTGAATTGTTTGCCTTTTTTTAAAGGACAAAGTTAGACTAATTAAGAATATGCAAGCTAGGCTGGAGAGATGGCTCAGCGGTTAAGAACACTAGTTGTTCTTGCAGAAGACCCAGGTTCGCATCCCAGCACCCACATGGCAGCTAACAACTGTCCATAACTCCAGTTCCAGGGGATCTTACAGCCTCTTCTGACCTCCACAGGCATTGTATGAGGGGTGTTTTTAAGTTAAAAAAAATATGCAAGCTGAGTGTGGTGGCACATGCCTTTAATACCAGCACTTAGGAGGCAGACGCAGGTGAATCTCTGTGAGTTCAAAGCCAGCCTGGTATACCTAGTGAGATCCAGGACAGCTGGGGCTGCAGGGAGACCTTGTCTCAAAAAAAAAAAAAAAACATGCAGGAAAGGGGCTGGGGAGATGATTCAGTGAATAAGAGCACTTACTGTAAAAGCAGGGGGACCTGAGTTCTCATCCCCAGCTCCCACATAAATGCTGGGCCTGGCCATGTATGCCTGTAACCCTAGCCTAGGCTGGGAGACGGGCAGATCCTGGAAACAACTGAAAAGATGAGCTTCAGGGTCAGTGAGAGACACTGTCTCAAAAATTGATGTCAAAAGCGATAGAGGAAGACACTCAACATCATCCTCTGGCCTCCTCATATACCTATATAAGGTGAACATCTGTGCACACACATACACATACATCACACCCCACATAAAGCAGAAAGAAGCTGCTGGGCATGATGGCACAGCGCCATAGTCCCAGCATGCAGGAGGCTAGAGCAGGAGGATCATGGATCATAAGTCTGAGGCCAGCCTAAGCCACATAGCCAGCCTAAGCTACATAGTCAGGCTGTTAAAAAAAAAAAATCAGAAGGACCAAATCAACTCATACAAATGTCATATATGGGGGTGGGGCTGGAGAGATGGCTCAGCGGTTAAGAACACTGTTCTTGCAGAAGACCCAGGTTCAAATCCCAGCACCCACATGGCAGATAGCAACTGTCCGTAACTCCAGTCCCAGGGGATCCGGCAGCCTCTTCTGACCTCCTCGGGCATTGCACGACACGAGTGCACTTACTACATGCAGGCAGTACATACATACACATAAAATAATAATAATAAATTAATAAATTTTAAAAAAAGAAATGTCATATGTGTAAATATTTTCTCTCCTTTGAATCTGCCCATGGTGAAATATGCCTTTGGTATTTTTTATTGGCAGTCTCATTATAAAATATCTTGTGTCATATTTATTACTATACCTTTATTTAAACCTTTGAATTACTCTTGAACTTTTTAATGTCTTGCCACATATATTGAAAAGGAGTCCTAAGTTTGAGGACTGGATGCTTCCTAGAGTTTCCTGATCCCTCTGTATATTCTGCTTATGTTTCTTTTTTAAAAAAATTTTATGTGTATGAGTGTATTGCCTGCATGTATGTAAGTACACCCATGTCTTGCAATGCCCGTGCAGGTCAGAAGAGGGTGTTGGATACCCTGGAACTAGAGTTACTGACAGTTGTTAACCACCATATGGGTGCTGGGAATTGAACCTAGGTCCTCTGCAAGAGCAGCCAGTGCTCTTAACCACTGAGTCATCTCTCCAGCCCCTCTATGTTTTTTATGTG